TTAAATCCACTTTATTTGTTAAACAAAACTAGTCAATCATTTAATATCTCTACTAAAAGACAGAAACTATTACTTAACAAGCTATACTGTAAATAAATCTGATATGGCACGTCATGTTACCGATCCCCCTCCTCAACCCCCCTCCTTCCCCGCCCGCTGTTTACTTTCACTTTCTTCCGCGACTCCCCAACCCTCTTCACTTTTGTCCACAACAACCCTCCGCTATTTACTTTCGTCCTTCATCTGCGACAACCCCCCTACCCCCTGCTTGCGCGACACCTCTCCATCCTCAGGTAACATGCCGGATCCGTTACCCCAATCTGTTTCGGATCCTCGCAATTCACAAATTTAGCACTGGACAAAACGTAAGTTGTAATTTACTGACAAGTTACTGACAAAAGGTAAATCGAAAGTTACTGACAAAACGTAAGTCGTAAGTTACTGACAAGTTAATGACAAAAGGTAAATCGTAAGTTACTGACAAAACATAAATCAAGTTACTGACAAAACATAAGTCGTAAGTTACTGACAAGTTACTGACTAAAGGTAAGTTGTAAGTTACTGACAAGTTACTGACAAAACGTAAATCGTAAGTTACCGACAAAACATAAATCATAAGTTACTGACAAAACGTAAGTCGTAAGTTACTGACTAAAGGTAAGTTGTAAGTTACTGACAAGTTACTGACAAAACGTAAGTCGTAAGTTACTGATAAAACGTAAGTTACGTTTTCTTGTGAGATCAGACTGGATTTATTAGATATAGGTTTGAGTAAAATGTTAATATATTTTTTTATAGCTCTGATTACAATATATTGTAATTTAAAACATTTATTTATTTATTTTATAAAATGGCAATAGCTCAGAATATTGTTTTTAAAAATGAACATAAAAATGGCTGAAAAAATGGCATCTTTATTATTTTACTTTTTTTTTTCATTTGAAAGACGTTTCATCTGTTGTTTGCAAAACACAATAACTATAAATCTTAAAATAAATCCAGATATACAAAGGTACATAGCTGAGTAATTTATTATATATTATTATAGTTATTATTATAATTTAATATAGTTTATTATACTAAATCAGTCAATTCTTTATGTACAGAAACCTTCAAATTTCAGTTCAGCTTCTTGATGTGCAAGTATCTTTTAGTTAAAATCATTGCAGACAGAAAACAACCATGAATGAAATTTGCCAAATAGTAGCATTCACCAGTGTGACACTAAGCTGCTGTATATACTTTAGTTAATTGCTGCACTTTTCAACTGATGTATTGAAAGAACTTAAACAACAGACAATTTAATCTCCTCAGTATTCAATAAGAGCGAGTTTTTGGTTTATTGTTTATCTGAATGAGCACAACAGTAGAGCTGGCTGTAAATCTGAGAAAGCAAAGACAGTTCCCTCCAAACACACAGAGTTGAGAAAAGCTTGATGAATAAATCAGTCAGATGATCGGGATGTCCCTCATGCAGGCTTATTTGGGAAATGAGTACATCATCTGATAAAGATATGCTTGGATTAGAGTCAATTGCAGATAAACATTATTGGTTGGGAAAATAAGGCTTGCACATAGATTTCCTCTTTTGGTTGGATGTGGATAAACATTGAAACATAATCCAGTTTTTTTTTTTTTTTTTTTTTTTTGGTTGCACCTGAACTTGTTTTCTCCTCTTGTCAAAACGTGAACTGGAACATCATCATTTATTTGGCGGAGAAATCCCCTTTCTGGTTCCAGGGCGATGGCATATCTGTGCGTCAGACTTGACATATCTCTCCTAATTAATATTGCTGACGAGTGGTGCAGACAGCAGGCAACGGGAGGTTTTGGCTCTGCCTGATAAATACAGAGAAGATGTCGAAGACATTGGAGTATTATTCATTTTCTAAGATAAATAAACTTTGGTTAGAAAAGATGTCTGCTAAATTTTGGTGGCGAGAGAGGGGGTGTTGTAGGAAGACTCCTTTTTATTCCTTCTAGACTAAAGATCAACGTTTAATGCTTGATGTGTAGATAAATATTATTTCTGTATTCCCTCCTTTATTTAAACCACATCTCTGTTTGTGGTTTGTTCTTTTTTATGCTGTTGCGTCAATGTGACCAAAACATCTTGCATTTGATCGAAGAAATGGAGATGTTTTAGGTCATTTATTAGCTTTATTATAATGCTAATAATATTATTTATTTATACAATTAGACATTTTTAAATTTGTTATTATGGAAAATCTAGGTTATTCTACCAAAAAGGGCTGCTCAATATTGGAATAATCTGATATACAGTTGAATTCACAATTATTAGCCCTCCTGTTTATTTATTTTTTTTCAATTTCTGTTTCGCGGAGAGAAGATTCGCATTTCTAAGCATATCTAATAGCTGATTTAATTTATCTTTGCCATGATGACAGTAAATAATATTTTACTAGATATTTTTCAAGACATTTTAAACAGCTTAACGTGACTTTAAAGGCTTAACTAGGTTAATTAGATTAACTAGGCAGGTTTGGGTAGATTAGGCAAGTTATTGTATAATGATGATTTCTTCTGTAGACTATGGAAAAAAATATAGCTTAAAGTTGCTAATAATAAGAAAAAATATTATCAGACATACTGTGAAAATTTCCTTGCTCTTTTAAACATAATTTGGGAAATATTTTAAAAAGAACAAGAAATTCAAAGGGGGGCTAATAATTCTGACTTCAACTGTATCTGCAATATTTTTTTTTCTGCAATATATATTGCGATATACTATGTTATACTTTCTTTTACACTTTATTTTAAGGTTCAGTTCTTGCTTTTGGCAAACCATTTTGACTTTTGCTTCAATAAACTCCAAATTTTTTTATTATTAATAGTTAAGGTAGTTTAGGTATTGGGTAGGATTAGGGATGTAGATTTAGATCATACAGAGTATGTGCTTTAAAAGTACTAATAATCGGCCAATATCTCAATAGCCTGCATGCTTATACTGTAAGTAGGGCCAGACAGAATCTGTGGATTTTTTCTGCTATTTTCTGCAAAAAAAAAAAAATTCTGTGGATTTATGCGGAATGATTTGGGGAGTATCATAACTAAAAACTTAATATATTAAATAAAAAATAATACCTTTTTAACTTTTATTTAGTGTTTACAATGCAAATCCAATTACAGGTAGATCCACTTAATTGGTAAACAAAGTCTGTCTTATAACATTTCTAAGACATAAAACATTACTTTATAAACTATAGTTTAAATAGATCAAATAAACATTTTCATTGTTCTTAATAATATTACTGAAATTAATTTTAAAACTGAATAAATATAAATTCACATATTTACACAAGTAAATGGGAAGAAGTGTCGTCAGGAGTCTGCAGAACTAAATGCAAATTATGTTACTCAAAATAAATAATAAATCCAGCGAAAGTGAGAATTTCCAAGTAAATGTATAATAAATTCTCAAATTAAGAAATGTAAATTTTAAATATCCTCAACTGAATTCTTTATTTTCATTGAACAAACAGTTCTAAACATGCAGTTAAATCGTTTTATGAGTAAACTCAACACTGTCAACCTAATTTCACCAAGTAGGATATGTTCCTGGATTAACATCTATGTTGATCCTGGAAAAACATTTTTATCAGCCAATCAGAATTAAGGGATATGTTTACAGTTTATGTTAAGTTTAGACTCATGGTTAGGTTGGCAAATCATAGCGTGCACTCAACACTGAGCTCAAAAATATGTACAATTTTAAACTGAGTTAACAATTTGTATGTTGCATTTTTTTACAGTGTATTTGCCTAAATTGTCATTTCATGTTCTGCAAATTCCATACAAATTCTCGTTTGGGAAAATCATGTTTGCCTTGCATGTTAGTGCACAAATTAAGATTTACATTCGGAGCAGCTCTTCATACTTGAAGAGTGTTGAGATGCTACAATGAAATATAGATATCTGTTGAGTTTTTGTTGGCATTTAAAAGCACTTTTTGGTATGCTAAGAATTAACAAATAATATGATAGCAGATTCAGAGGACCTGTAACCAAATATGGTCCTGCTTTCCTGAAATGTCCAGGCATGATGTCTCTCTTGCGTAAATCCAGAAGGCTCATCCGTTTTTGCTGGAATGTGATTAAGAATGACTCTATAAACATGTCATAGTGGGAGGCGTAAATATGATCACTTTCGCTGTTTCACATTTTTTGTTCTGCCTATTGTTTTCTGACAGATGTTCCATACATTTGGAGGTGCATTAAGTGAAGGTTATTGTATTTGTTTTGCATTGCTCTCAGGCATCCGAACTCTTCACCTCTTGTCAGTCTTTGTAGGGAAATCACAGTTTTATAAAAAAAAGAGAAAGATTTTGTGTGCTTCCCAGGCTCATGAATCTATCTGGCCGAGGAAAAAACAAGCATGGCAGGAATGTGTGGTTTAAACGGACAAAATAGCAGTTTGGGCTTATGTTACTCAAACTATTGTGTCCACGTTTAAACTACCAAACCAGACTTCCATGAATCAATCGAGCGAATTTAGAGCGCAGAAATGCTGAACTCTGCTGAGAAAGAGCAGTGATACAGATGAAAGAGTGCGCTTATGTAAGCCCAGCGTACGGCTATTTTCTTTTCTTGATTCCAAAAAATATTTTATGACAGTTTACAGAAAATGTTAAAAGCCTTTTTTTTTGTTTTTGTTTTTTTGGTTTTGCACAAATTTGAAAAACTTGCATCTCTTTCCCTCTGGATTTTCTTTTGACGTGCTGACTTAACAAAGTACCATTCTATATACATGTCTCATTGTGCTTTTCTCCCCCCATTCACCCACTCCAACTCCCTCTTTCCCTCGCTCGCCCCTTTTCCTCTGTCTCTCGGCTGCAGATCTTGGCACTGACAGATGCGTTGTCACGCGTAGGAGTCCAGAACCTCTCTCCATCTCGTTTTTTTCAGCTCTCCCCCTCCTTCTCCTCCAAGCATCCCTAATAAGACATGCTCCTGGGCTGGGTTGCTCACTCACGGTAGGATCTCCCATACTCAATCGCCGCCAGCTCCTCTTCTCGGCTTCATGGGTTGAAGGGCGCACAAGATCTCCCAAAGGTGATCTTCTTCATCGCGCTATGGTTTGCTCTCTAAACATGTCCGGGCTTGCCAAAGGCTCCCCCAGCCAAAGGCTCCGCGAGCGGCTGTAGTCCACTTCGTTCCACCTGCCACAGCGTGAAAGGGGCGTCCTCAGTGACTGGGCACCAGGGACTATGCATTTGGGACTGCTGGCGCTGGCACTGGTCTTCTTCAGCTCCATGGGTCACGCCGATAACCTCAAGGCCTCCAAAGCAAGAAGACAGAGACGGAGTGAGTGCTGATGTTTCTTTTTTGACAACTTTTCTCTTTTAGGTGGCTGGGGTTTTACTGTTTCTTCAGACCTAATGCAGCTTTTCAATTGGTAGCCCCTATTATTTGTGGCTCATTAAGGGGCTTTTGACTTGCTTGGAATGTGCTTTTTGGGGTTTTTGTGCTTTTTGAAATGTGGGGTAGTGCAGCTTTTAATAGCAACTTTTCTTTTTAAGGCAAATTGGAAATGAGCATATCATGTTCTAAAGAGCAGCCAATTTCGAGCCATTAGATGATACTTAACTATAATGCCTAACACATTTTATTTTTGCTAATCTTTTGACTTCAAAACCTTTTTTACTTATTGTGTGCGTTTCTCATTACAGTAGAGCATTACTTTAAGAGAAGAGACACTGAAATCAAGTGTGTGCTCGTGATCATCTCGTAGTAAGAGCAATAATTTAGGAAAAGTGCTTTTTTTTTGCGTGTGTGAACTCATGTTTTTACAAAGTGTTTTTTTTTTGGTGTAAACTACATATCAGGTACTATTATATTGCAAGCTGTTGAAAATGTTGTTATGTACTTATATATTACAAATGTTTATTTTCAGACATAAAATAGCTAAACGCCATCTGAAATTTTCCACTAAAATGAGAATTTTTCTCTGCCTCCTATGTTTATGTTTAAGTATTTTACTTTAAAGGCAATGAAAAGAACTTATTCGTCACTATAAAAGTAACTTCTCTGAGACTACACACAATAGTAGGAGAAAAATGCTAATTTTAGAAGAAAATATCAAACAGCATTTAGAGGTTTTTGCATCTGAACCCTATTCATATATAGCAAATATTTATTTACTGTGAAAATCTAGCAAGAGTTCCTATGTGCCTGCATGCATCCCGTAGTTATACATGTTTTTTCATATTTTAATGATTTTTTTTTTATATATACAGTTGAAGTCAGAATTATTAGTCCCCCTGAATTATTAGACTGCTTGTTTATTTTTTTCCCTAATTTCTGTTTAAAGGAAAGCAGATTTTTTCCAACACATTTCTAAACATAATAATTTTAATAACTCAGCTCTAATAACTAATTTATTTTATTTTTGCCATGATGACAGTAAATAATATTTGACTAGATATTTTTCAAGACACTTCTATACAGCTTAAAGTGACATTTAAAGGCTTAACTAGGTTAATTGCGTTAACCAGGCAGGTTAGGGTAATTAGGCAATTTATTGTATATCGATGGTTTGTTCTGCAGATTATCGAGGAAAAATTTAGCTTAAAGGGGCTAGTAATTTTGTCCCTAAAATGGTGTTTAAAAAATTAAAAACTGCCTTTATTATAGCCGAACTTAAATAAATTAGACTTTTTCCAGAAGAAAAAATATTATCAGACATTATGTGAAAATTTCCTTGCTCTGTTAAACATCTTTTGTAAAATATTTTAAAAAGAAGAAAAAAAATTCAAAGGGGGCTAATAATTCTGACTTCAACTGTATATATATATATATATATATATATATATATATATATATATATATATATATATATTGAAAATAAATATTTTAATCCATTTCTCAGTCAATAAAGGCAATGTATTTTGGTGCATTTAAACAAAACAGATTTATTAAACAGAAATATTTATTAAACTAATGTTTTAGTCACCAAACATGTTTAGAAATTGAAAGATAATACAATTAAATTCAAGCAAAATATTGCAAATAAATGACAACCTACAAAATTTAAACAATTTTTATTTATTTATTTTTTTGGTTATTATGATTTTTCCTCTTTTTCAAAATTTGTATTTAATATTTTTCTATTACATATAAATTTGGCTGTACTAGTTTTTGGACTGTTATTGTACGTTATTTTGTCAGATAAGCTCTAGATTTGGCTTCAGTACTGGCACAAATATATGCACAAATAATATTGTATAGCTTCCTATTAAAAATATGAATTTAAAAGAGAGATTTTTGAGGGGTGTACTTATATATGCTGAGCACTATTTATGGAAAGTGGTCTGTTTTGGTTTTGTGTAGTATTGTTTTTTGTGTATCGCTCAATATTAAATACATCATAAGCTGTGGTGCCAAAAAAAAAATCAAATCATACTAACAATCTGATCAATTTCTTATCACAAATCCAAAAAGAAAAGTTAGATTAAGCATTGCTAAATGATATTTAAGGGGATAGTTCACAAAAAAAATTAATTCTGCAATAATTTGCTCACACTTTGCTTGTTTTAAATATTTGTGCATGTTTTTCTGATGTTGAACACAAAAGAAGATATTCTAAAAAATGTTGGAAACCAGTAACCATTCACTTCCCTTTTCCTACCATGATAATCAATGGGTACAGTTTTCTAACATTATTCTAAATATTTTCTTTTGTGTTCAACAGTAAAACGCAACTCATAAAGGTGTTAAACCACTCGAGGATGAGTAAATAGTGAGCAAATGTTCATTTTTGCATGAACTGTCTCTTTTATTCATTGGGATGTGCGCATTGAGTGCCAGTAATGTTGCGGTGTACAGGAAAAACGTTAATTATCTTTTAAACAAGTTATATTTACTATAATACAATATATTTCATTGTAATATTGTGTATGAAATTTCTGATGTTAAAAACAAAAGAAGATATTTTGAAGAATGTTGGAAACAGCAACCATTCACTTCCATTTTACTTTTATGAAAGTCAATGGTTACACAATTCCAACATTCTACAAAATATCTTCTTTTGTGTTCAACAGAAACTTATAAACTTATAAAAACTTTAAACAACTTGAGGATGATTAAATATTGAGCAAATGTTCATTTTTGTATGAACAGTCTCTTTTATTCATTGGGATGTGCGCATTGATGAGTGCCAGTAATGTGCAGGTGTTTGCAGCCTCCTCTAGAGGAAGATATATGTAATGCAGAGAACCACACAGATGCAGATGCATCAGATTTGCCACTGTTGTTATTTCACTTAGAGACAATATTATTAAAACTTGAACATTTATTCCCCTTCCAGACAATATAAGGAACAAAACGTGCATGTATCGTGTTGTGACAGTCACAGCAGGTAACTAAAGCAAGAAATCAAGTAGCACGAGGAAGCCTAGAAGTACAAATCAAAACACGACACCAATGAGAAAGTAAAGCTTTCTGTGGGGAAATAAACAGTGAGTTACTTAGTGAAATAAATCTACGGATGCTCCGCAATCTGTTAAGGCTTCTTGACCTCAATGTAAGCTCATCTGACCAAGTGCTTCTTGATAGTGTAGTTTTGCAGCAGTTTTATCAACAAAACGTAAGCAAACATCTCTGACAACTGTTATTGTACAAGTGATTGAACAGTGCTCACACTTTAGTCCCTGTTGATACTTTCCTGCGTTCGTTCTAAAATATCCAAACCACACCAGCAAAACATGTAATATTTCATAGTGTCTAAGTGTTTCCTTTTGTTTGCTGTAAACTTTTAAATTATGATATCAGCCTCCACATCTGTTCTATGGCACGGTGCCTGACGCTTCAAAAAGAAATAAATTGTAATAATGTAAAAATTATTTTTAGTTGGTGCATTTTATATCCTGTTTTTCTGGGAAAAAAGTGTAAATATTCTTTTAAAGAAGATACGTTTGCTTTTAGAATTGTGTAAGCAATAAGAAGTAGGGAATAAATCTTTAAGTCTCTTACCCCATTTGCAAATACGTTTTTATTGCCTTTAGGTTAAACACACCAAAATTTAGCTAGATTAATGCTTTAAACAAGTAAAAAAATATAGATTTGATGATACGATAAAGAAGATTTAAATAAATCAAGATATTCTCTGAAAGCAAGTCATATGATTTGAATTATATGTAGGTTGTGTTTACACATTTTTGTCACATTTTCTCACAGGCTTACATCGATGGGATATATGCACACGGTCCCAAAATTGCAATATTTAAGGTCTGTTTTCTTTACAAATAAGTAATCTTCTCTGCCTAATAAATATTTTATACAAAGTGCATTAGATTCAATATTTCTTTCCATCTCTTTAAAATCTGAAAAATTACTTTACCTCAGTATTTTGAATGGAGGTTTCTGCACTAGCCTGCTGGTACTGACGGCCTATCATCTCCTTTTATGCTTGAACAACTAAATGAATGCTTAAGGTTATTTAACTGATTGTATTTTAATTACATTACGATGTCTATACTGTGAAAAAAATTTACATTAAGCTTTCACCGGAAGTTTACCGTTGGCTGAAAAACACCAGCAGTGCATATACCCCATTGAATCAAACTTAGGTGTGATTGTTTGTTGTTTCGTTTAAGTAGGTGTAAATGTCTGAACCTCTGTGCGGAAAGCAGTTGCAAAGAGATCACTGAAAAGATGGAATTAAACACCAAGAACATCAAATAAACAAAAAATAGGAGATATTGACACAAAATATATTGTTACAAAGGATAGGATGCTTATTTTTATTTCAATCCTAACCATTGTGCTGCATGGTGCAGTGCAATATATCTATTCATGAAATCAGTTCTTAAATGGTTTGTCTAATGGAAGAATTTCTGTCACCCGTTTACACGTATCATATTCATAACCAACAAAATACCATTAAATGATAAACAAGTTTAGTCCAGCATGCAGCCATTTTATTTGTTTGGTGCATTGTAAAAAATGTAATGACAAAAAAATCATGACAAAAGTTATGTTTATGTTGCTTTAACTCATTTGAATAAGTTAGTTTGGTTTCAAAAAATGGTAACAATTTTAATAAATTATATCATTTACTACAAAGTTTAATTTAATATGTTTAGTCAGTTTGATTGATGTTGAGTTGACTAAAAAAAAGTTAATTTGATTCAACTAAAAAAAATGTAAGGCAGCAAATTTTTAGTCAAATCAAGTCAAGTCAAGCTTTGTTGTCATTCCGCTAAATGTGTGGTCATACAGAGGAACAAAATGTCATGTCTTGCTGGACCACGATGCTACACAAATTAATCATAGATACAAACACAACACTGGACATGAGCTATTTTAAAAACCTATGCATAACTATGCTATAAGAAACTTAACTATACACATAAGACAGGCTATACAAGTACTTGTCTTTATTTTTGAAGTCTAAGTTGAGTTACAAAATATAAATTTTTACTATTCTTTAAATAAAGGAAATATTTTCATTCATTCATTCATTTTACTTCGGCTTAGTCCCTTTATTAATTTGGGTTCGCCACAGCGGAATGAACCACCAACTTATCTAGAATATGTTTTAAACAGTGGATGGCCTTCCAGCTGCAACCCATCACTGGGAAACACCCAACACTCTTGCATTCACACACATATACTGCAGCCAATTTAGTTTATTCAACTCACCTAAAGCGCATGTCTTTGGACTGTGACTGTGAGGAAAACCGCTACACCCGGAGGAAATCCACGCACATACGGGGAGAACATGTACCTCCTCACAGAAATGCCAACTGATCCAGTTGGGATTTGAACCAGGGACCATCTTGCTGCAACAGTGCTAACGACTGAGCCACCGTGCCGCCCTTGTAATTTAAAAAAAATTATATATTTATGTAAAAGATTTATCTAAACAATTAGTTGGCTAAATTGTAGCTGTTTTTTGTTTTAGGTCATCATGAATATTTTCATGTGAATAATTAAACAAAGGGGATAATAATATTATGTTAATGTAGTTTATCATCAAAATGTAAAAGATCCATCTAAAGCACAGGTGTCAAACTCAGTTCCAAAAGGGCCGCAGCTCTGCACAGTTTAGTTCCAACCCTAATTAAACACACCTGATCAAACTAATTGAGTCCTTCAGGCTTGTTTGAAACATACAGGTAAGTGTGTTGGAGCAGGGTTGGAACTAAACTGTGCAGGGTTTCGGCCCTCCAGGAATTGAGTTTGACACCCCTGATCTAAAGATTTCCGGGGTGATAAAAGAAAGAGATGCTTTTATCTGTTACATATGGATGAAATCACAAATCTGATTGTTTAGGTGCTTTATTTGACATTGATGATTCTTTAAACGAACTTTTAAGATCTATGGAATCTTCCAGGAAGGTTAGATTATTGAAATGTTTTCAGACTAGGAAAAAATATTGATGTTTTGGAAAATCTTCACTGAAAATGTTTGTGAAAAATCAAGTATGCTTCTTCTGTGGTATCAATGGAAAAACTCTTGGTAAATCGGTTTCAAATCAAATCAAATCACATTTATTGTCACACCATTAACAGCACGTGTACTGTGATGAGTGAAAAGCATAGGTGCTGGCTCCAGACAGTGCAAAATACAGACAGTGTAAAATACAACAACATACTCCCAAAAAACAAAACAATATACAATTGGCAATGTTGACAGTCATACGTAGAAGACAATGAATAGATATACATAGTCTGACTGCTGGTGGTAAATTGTTGTAGGCAATAATGTTTTAAGTAAGGATTGGTTAAAGTGCAGTGCATGTTACATCTTGGCCTGCACTTTAACCAATCCTTACGTTTCCGCTGCTTTCTTTTAAATCCTCATGTTAAATATGTTCTCTTTGTTTGTTTTAAGACAAAAACAAATACATTATTCAGATTAAGGAATCTTTAGATAAGAGCCTGAAAAAGCTGAAAATATCACTTTGCCTGGAAGTCAATTAATCAAATCCATAACAGACATTAACAATGCAAATGTGTAAACAATGAGCATGTTAACATGAGAAATATAAATAAAAGTAGTGATCAGAAAAGTGTGAATTTATTAAGTTAAACTAAATTAGTTGATTAAGTTATGGTTGATTTATTAAATCTTAATGCTCCATTACACTATAATAGACCAAAACAATTGATTTATAAAGAATTCCCCAAGGCTAGCCAATAATTTATGCCATTATGATCAATGTTTTATTGGTGCTCAATCATTAATCCTAGTTCCTATTTTTATATATTCACAAAGAACATGTTATTAAAAAGTTAAACTATACTCATTAAAGAGACATTTCAAGCAAAAAATGAAAATCCTGTAATAGTTTGTTTTCTCTTGTATGGTTTTAAATCTTTCTGTTGAACACAAAATACAATATTTCGAAGAATGTTGGTTGCTGGCACCTATTTATTTCCATAGTACGAAAAAATGGCTGTTGAAATACAATGGGTGTCCACTATCAATATTAAAAATACCATATTTCATGTTCAATGGAACAAAGAAACTAGGTTTTGAACAAATGTATAGGGTGTGAAAACCATCCCTTTATTATCATGGTTTATTGTATTTTTGAATGTTGTTGTTTTGTTGAATATTTCAATGATGTTTTTGAACTTTTGCTCACTATTATTCAGTTAGGTCCATCAATATTTAGACAGCGACACAACGCAATCGATCTGAAAATGAAATAAACAAGAAGGTGGGAGGCACATATGCAAACTGTTGTTATTCCTACACCATTAACCTGATTTGAATGTACAGCAAATATCCTCAAATTAAACCTGACAGTCTGCAGTTACAGCACATCTTCATTGTTTTATTTCAAATTGATTGTGTTGATGTATAGAGCCAAAAATATTTTACATAAACAATTTTCATGAACCAAACTGTATATATACAATGATAATTTAGTGATGGTCATATATGACTTCTTTTTTAATTAAGGGGCATTTTTAGGTTACTTTTCTAACAAATTACCCTGAGAGATATTTTAAGGGAATTTTAAGTTCTATAAAAATCTCACATTTAGCTAAAAAGTCTAATTTATTACTTACACTTCCTGCAATCTTCCTCTTGAAGATGAAAATCCAATGGGGATGTTTTCACCATCGTGATATAACACTGTCAAGAAGTGAAGTTGTCTTTTTAGTGTGTGTCTGCAGTGTTGGTACGGTCTGCAACCTAGCCAACTTCCCTGCATATTTGTCTGGGCTAACCACCACTCAATAGACCCGTGCAAAACAATTATTCACGTTTATCATTGTTAATTCAAGTTTCATTTTTGTTGTTCCTGCTGACAGGCTTTTTCAGCTGTGGAGAGCAATGCAGTGATCGCATAACTTCACACACTTACTTTGAAAACCTTCCACTTCTAAGGATGTTTTTTTGTTGATGTATTTGAGTGTTTCTTCCTTGTTCTTCTGAAAGTTAATATTGTTAATGCTCTTTTATAATTTGATTGGTTGATGGATGAGTTAAACAATTTCATTATTTTTTCTTATGTTCCCCCCCAAGAACAAGATCAACATAAGAGGTTCATTGGTCCATTAGGTTGCGTCACTTACTGTACGTGCGGCTTATTTACAGCATTTTAACACTCGTAGTGTAGAGATTGATTGCCCTGTGAGAATATATATTTAGAGCTGATGCTCCACACATAGACTCATAAATTAAAGCAGATGACCGCAGTTTTGACTCCGTTCGGCTCACCAGGAACAGGATGTGCACTCTGACATGCTTTCGGAGTAATCTTTTATTTAATCTTGGCTTTAAACGCAGACATATTTTGGATGTTACAAGCAAAGCATGGAACGGGATGTGTGAGCTTACTTAGATATCTGTTGTTGATTTTATTTGACCATTTGTCAGCAATTTGGGAGACCTGGACTGACATTTTAAGCCCCTTTCGCCCTGTGGACCATCACAAATCTCTGTGATGTCTCCAGTTTTGATTGTCCGGTATGAAATAGCATGACATCTTCCGGTGAAAGATTTCCACACAAATGTTTTAAATGAACAGAGTGAAGTGAACAAGGGTACTTGGTGCAAATGAGCTGCAAACACAGACTACTGAGTGTAACAAGATAAAGCGCTGCTATTTTTTTACAGGCCTGCAGTCTGAAGTGCTGTTTAGAAAACTATCTATCTATCTATCTATCTATCTATCTATCTATCTATCTATCTATCTATCTATCTATCTATCTATCTATCTATCTATCTATCTATCTATCTATCTATCTATCTATCTATCTATCTATCTATCTATCTATCTATCTATCTATCTATATATCTATCTATCTATCTATCTAACTGTCTGTCTGTCTTTCTATCCATCCATCCATCCATCCATCCATCCATCCCACCCACCAATCCATCCATCCATCCATCCATCCATCCATCCATCCATCCATCCATCCATCCATCCATCCATCCATTTCATTTATCGGTCATTTATGCTGAGCACTGTATTTATGTCTGTCTGTCATGATGGTAAACTCAAAGTGAGGGCCACTTTGAGGGGTTGTTTGTTCAGTTTCTGACAGTTTGCACACTTAACATGCTTACTCCCAATTATTATATTTATTATTATCACTTTGGAATACAGATCGTCTTATAAGTTATAATGAAATGCTACCTGTACATTTACTAACTCATATCTGTCTTTTCTCCATCAGTAAGCACTGAAGTTCCTCCATCATGTTCGAATGGATGTGAACACTGCTCGGAGTACAACGGCTGTCTTAAATGTCGACCCCGACTCTTCATCTTACTGGAGCGAAATGATATCCGTCAGATAGGCATTTGCCTGGCCGCGTGTCCTGTTGGATATTATGGCATTCGAAATCGGGATATGAACAAATGCACACGTAAGTCTTTGCTCTAATTTCAAAACCATACATTTTTATGTATGTAATATACTGTAAGCTCTGCCAATCAGTGTATTTGAATGATTCTGTAGGATTATGTGACACTAAAGACTGCAGTAATGAATGCTGAAAATTCAGCTTTAACCTCACATGAAAAAATTATATTTGAAATATACATTAAGGTATAAATTCAGTAATTGTTACAGTTATTTTGCTATTTTTAACAGCACTTTTATTTAATTGTTTTATTAGAATACTCTGTGTAGATGTCTTATATGTGTATTCACAATATAAAACAAGTAAAAATAAAATAATTAGAGAAATATTAAAATAGAGCACTATAATAGTATTTTACCATATTGCAGTCTATTTTATATAGCATATGTAGATGTATTCAGATCTCTAGCTACATATATACACTCACCGGCCATTTTATTGGGTACACCTTACTAGCACAAGGTTGGACCTCCTTTTTCCTTCAGGACTGCCTTAATCCTTTATGGCATAGATTCAGCAAGGTACTGGAAATATTCCTATGAGTTTTGGGTCCATATTGACATGATAGCATCATGCAGTTGCTGTAGATTTGCACATCCAAGATGTGAATCTCCTGTTCCACCCTATCCCAAAGGTGCTCTATTGCAGGGGTTCCCAATGTTTTCAGCCTGTGACCCCCAAATTGACAATGCCAGTGACTCGCGACCCCCAATATCCCCTGAGGTGGTTATAAATACAGAAACCTTCGCGCACACACCAATAGACTTATACGTATGTTCTTGGTTTAATTATTTTTAATGTATATCAGTGCCGTAAATAGTCCAGAAAGTTTATGTTAAAAAATCTATCAGCTGCATCTGACGCTATTGCTGTGTCTTTAATATATAATATATAATGCAACTACCACAGGGGTCGCAATCCAATAGAACTAGTAAGCTAGTATATAGTATATAGTAACTAAAAGCAACAATTTTTTCCTCCTCAGTAGGTTAAAATATGGTAATCCTTATGGTTTAATAAAAATAAATTGATTTTTGGAAATCACCAGGCGACCCCCCTTCATTGTCTCGCGACCCCTCAAGGGGTCCCGACCCCCACTTTGAGAACCACTGCTCTATTGGATTGAGATCTGGTGATTGTTTAGGCCATTTAAGTACAGTGAACTCATTGTCATGGCCAATAAACCAGTCTGAGATGATTCACGCTTTATGACATGGTGTGTTATCCTGCTGGAAATAGCCATCAGAAGATGAGTACTCTGTGGTCATAAAGGGAAGGACATTGTCAGCAACAATACTCAGGTAGGCTGTGGCATTGATACAATGCTCAATTAATACTAATGGGCCCAAAGTGTGCCAAGAAAATATCCCCCACACCATTACACCACCACCACTAGCCTGAACCGTAGATACAAGTCAGAATGGATCCATGCTTTCATGTTGTTGACGCCAAATTCTGACCGTCACAGCAGAAATCGAGATTCATCAGACCCAGGCAACGTTTTTCCAATCTTCTATTGTCCAATTTTGGTGAGCCTGTGTGAATTGTAGCCTCAGTTTCCTGTTCTTAGCTGACAGGAGTGGCACCTGGTGTGGTCGTCTGCTGCTGTAGCCCTTCTGCTCCAAGGTTGGATGTGTTGTGTGTTCAGAGATGCTCTTCTGCATACCTCGGTTGTAACGAGTGGTTATTTGAGTTACTGCTGCCTTTCTATCAGCTCGAACCATTCTGGCCATTCTCCTCTGACCTCTGGCATCAACAACGCATTTTCGCTCACAAAACTGCCACTCACTGGATATTTTCTCGTTTTTGGATTATTCTCTGTAAACCCTAAAGATGGTTGTGTGTGAAAATCCCAGTAGATCAGCAGTTTCTGAAATACTCAGACCAGCCTATCTGGCACTAATCTGCCACGTTCAAGTCACTTAAATCACCTTTTAACCCCATTTTGATGCTCGGTTTGCAGCAGATTGTCTTGACCATGTCTAAATGCAATGAGTTGCTGCCATGTCATTGGCTGATTAGAAATTTGCATTATTGAGCAGTTAGACAGGTGTACCTAATAAAGTGGCCGGTGAGTGTAGCTGTTGTCAGATAATAAAAAAGTCAGCATCTTTTCATCACAAACAGCTTTGTATCTTTTCCTTAAAACATATGCAGTTTATTCAAAAAACAGGAAGTCACGCATCTTACAGATCCTCTTAGAAATAAAGAAAATCAATGACACTGAAAAACTACATACTGTAAACGAACCTTTCTTAGGCTATTTGCCCGAGCTTTTATCTTCAACTTTCCTGCATTTAACACCATTTGGAAGATAGTCACAAATTACGCAACGATCACATTGTTCACCGCATTCATTAGTACTGTAACCCACCAGTGACACGAAACTACCCGCATGTGACCCGTGGATGCCAAACACTGAGCCAGTGATCTGTTTTCTCTTACTCTGTGGGTGAAAAACAAGGCTGGGGGATGAAATACGAAGCAAAACATTGGTAATACTCTGCTGTTTGTCTGTTTCTTCTAGGAAGTCTGTGTTATTATTGTAGCCTGAGTTCACGGTAGTTCAATCCTGGCCATATTTTTCGAGCTTTCTAAGCAAACCCTACGCAAAAAACATAAAGAGGATTTACATTTAATCACCCTCTTTGTTTTAACAGCGCGCTCTCTAGGTTTTTTGTAAGCGTTTCCATCATGTGCGTGAGCATTTTTACTGTGATGGAGCCAAAGCTGCGGATAAACAAGGAAATACCTCTCGTAAACTGATTGGTGGTACCTGTTTACTCCTGTCGTGGGAGGAAATGAATGGCTTTATTTGACTTTTATTTCTAACTTCAAGCCGCTGAAGCTTTTCCAGTTGTAAATTGAACGTCCTGCTCCCTTTTCAAGCATGTTTTGATAGCCAATTAGCGCGAGCCACATCTTGGAGTCATTATATTTTGTTATAGGAAGAAAATACTTTTGTTACCAAGACACACTGTTGCATCATTCAGGCTAATACCTCTCAGATGGTTCTGATTTAAGCCTTCTTTCTAGATAACCTGAAATTTCAACGTTAGCATCCAGGGAAGTGAGAAATTAGCTGAGCGCTGTTTTTATTTCACAACCCTCTGGAGCCTTTAATTCATCATTTTTGACTGTATACTTTACGTTTGCTTTGAAATAGCACATGCAGCTGTCTGCTTGTTAGCATAAGTATTTTTATGATCCGCATCTTGAGATTAAAATACGTTGTGTCCGCAGGTGTCGGCTTCAGATTCGGACTCTCGCTGTCAACATTTCGTTTCGTTCTCATTTGCTCAGTGTTTTTGTGGTGTTTTGAAAGACGGCCGTGCATGCGAAACCCTCCTTCATCTCAGTCCCTGAATGGCTGCCGCGCTGCAATTATTCAATCAGCTGCGTGCATTTGATTCCTTTCCAAATCCCCATGATGTCTTGTTAACAACATTTGTCTTGCATTAAGGGTGCATTTGTAAATGCTTGAGTGCAAAAGAATTTGCTCCAAACGTTACTAATTTAGTTGTCAGGCATTTAAAGTAGTAATTGAGAGCAGAGGTTATAACAGAAAACACGGCTTGAGTATATTGTTAGGCCCTCTTCTGCTTTTGGCTGGTGCACCGTGATATGTATCAGACATATCCATGTGCTGCTGAACATGAAAGTGTTTCGGGTGTTATGGATATTTACTTTTGCATGTTTTTGAATACAGTTTGGAAAATTTAGGGTTAGGTTAGTGTAGTCTGTGTCAGTCAGAAAACTGTGGAAGATCACAATTATAACAATAAATAATGCATTTTAGGATTTTACATATTTTATTGCGATTTATATAAGGCAAGTGACCTCAAATTGAATTTTCAATCTGTTTTAATTCTGCAAGTTGTCAAGGAAGTGCTACTTATTTCCATGTTTATGGAAAGGAACACCCCACTATTTTAAATAGGCTCATTTTGCTCGAGTTGAACAGTTGAGCTTCACCATTTTTAAATCCATTTAGATTTAAAAGGAGCACCTTTAGCTTAGCTTAGCATAAATCATTGAATCGGATTAGACCATTAGCATTTCTCACAAAAATGTAAAAAAACATTTTGATAATTTTCCTATATGAGGCTTGAATATTCTGTCGTTACAATATGTACTAAGCCTTAAGCGAGTCGCACACCAGATGTGGCGCTCAGCGCCAGGCTGCAACATTTATATGACAGTTGGAAGTAACACACACCAGGTGTAAATATTTGCATGTTATTTAAAATGAAACTATTCAGATGCCGCTCTGTGGCACGGAAAAAATATGAACAGTGTCCTGAGCCATAGCTGGGCGCCGGGGACAGACACCGACTTGCAGCACCGTTGTGTTTACCCTAATAGAAATCTGTTTAGAACTCTAATATGTATGGTGTGCGACCACCTTTAAGTTAAATTAAAAACTACTATTTTCTTTTTTAAATAGTTTTTTTTTTACCTTTAATTTGAAAAGGACAGTGAGGGTTAGACAGGAAAGTATTGGGAGCAAGGAGAGGGGAAAGGGTCTGCAACGGACCTCGAGCTGGGAATCAAACTCGGGTCGCCGTATGCACCATGGTGCCATATGACAATGCACTTAACCACAGCGCTATAGGCGCTGACAAAGCTGCTATTTTCCAGGTTGATATGGCTAGGAACTATACTCTCATTCTGGCGTATAAATCATAGGAAATTTGTTGCTGCTTAATGGTAAAAGTGCTTTCGCCAGACACAAAGATAGGCTAAATAGACTCAAAATAGCTAAAACTCAAGTGTTTAACAGTAGCTGACTTCCTTGAAATTTCCTAAAAAAGTGGAATGTTCCTTTAAGGCTTAAATTAAAAATGAAAATAACAAACCAAAACTATGGATGATTTCTGTTTCTATTCATAAAAACTACAATAGGCGAAGCGGTGGCGTAGTAGGTAGTGCTGTCGCCTCACAGCAAGAAGGTCGCTTGTTCGAGCCTCAGCTGGGTCAGTTGGGGTTTCTGTGTGGAGTTTGCATGTTCTCCCTACGTTCCTGTGGGTTTCCTCCGGGTGCTCCGGCTCACCCACAGTCCAAAGGAATATGGTACGGGTGAATTGGATAAGCTAAAATTGTCCGTAGTGTATGTGTGTGTATGAGTGTGTATGGATGTTTCCCAGTTATGGGTTGCAACTGGAAGGGCATTCGCTGCGTAAAACATATGCTGGATAAGTTGGCAGTTCATTCCGCTGTGGCGACCCCAGATTAACAAAGGCACTAAGTAGAAAATAAAATAAAAGAATGAATGAAAAACTACAATATATGCTCAATGCTAGAATATAACTGCAGTAAACAGCGAAATCATTTTGGTTGACATGATTTTCAGATTTTAGAACAGCAAGCTCAGACTTCTGGACCCCACTTTAAATCATTTCTGATTTTTCTTTAGTAAAGAAAGAGACTAAGATGGATATTTAAGAGGAGCATCCACTGTTTATCAGAATGAGATAATGAATATAATAGCGTTATGGGCTGGGAAGTGTATTCAGTTTGGTTTTGTATTTGTCTGGTTTTCATTCTGAAGGAATCCACATTGCCCCCAAATTGATGTAGACAGAACACTTGTAACAAGACAGAGATGTGAGGTGTGACATCTTTGACTACTTTTGGATTAGAATCTGTCAATGCTAGAAAAAAAATGGTCACTGAATGGTGGTCCGCTTGTTCTACTTTGAAATGTGTATTGATAAAACAACTATAGCACTGTCTTTTTTCTTTATTTCAGAATGTAAAATAGAAAACTGTGAGGCATGTTTTAGCCGAAACTTTTGCACAAAATGTAAGGAAGGCCTGTACTCGCATAGAGGGCGATGTTTCTCCAGCTGTCCTGAAGGATTCACCGTCAACGGCACCATGGAGTGTGTAGGTGAGTCTCCTACAGCCTTTTGCTGTCATTGAGAGAGTCACTATTATTTCCTTAGTGTTTTTACAATGTAGATTATGTCAATACCAGTATTTCAGATTATTAAACATATATTCAGCATATCAGGCAGCAGAGTAGTCGTAGTTGTCAAGGAAGCGCTTTTTATTTTCATGTTAGTTAAAGGAACACTTTTTTTAAATAGGCTTATCTTACTAGAGTTGAACAGTTCAGTTTCACCAGTTTAAATCCATTTAGATGATCTCCGGGTCTGGCGGGAGTATAAATTATTGCATAAATTATTAATTTATAGCATAAATTATTGAATCGGATTAGACCATTAGCATTTATTTAAAAAAAAAGTAAAAAAAAAAAAAAAAAAAAAAGTTTTGATAATTTTTCTGTTTAAGGTTTGACTATTCTGTTGTTATATCATGTACTAAGCCTGATGTAAAATGAAAAGCTGCTATTTTCTAGGTCGATATGGCTATAGGAACTGTACTCACTCTGGCGGAATAATCATGGGAATTTGTCGCTGTATAATGGTTAAAGTGCTCCCGCTTTTTACTATGTAAATTGTATCAATACCAATTTTTCAGATTATTGAACATATTCAGCATTTCACGTTTGGCAGCAGAGTAGAATGCTGGTGTAGTTCAAGTTAGATTAAAACTGATTCAGTTCATCGACAATCCACTGAAGAACAGCTCCACTGTCCCCAACTGAGAAAGATTTTTAGACATAATAGTGAATATTTTCTCAAACCAAAAATGACTCCAAACAAAGCTGGAGCAAACATTTGTGTGTCTCATAGCAACACTGTGTATCATTCCTAAATTTAACAAATTATTTGATCTGTATAATCATGATTCAGTGATTCATTCATAAACATAGGCTGTGTCCCAAAGCTAAAAAGTGCTGTCTTAGAAGGCATCAATTCACATCCATAACCAAATTTAGCCTCACTTTCTGTCTGCTTATTGTAGACAGCATAGATGTATCCCAGCAAACAACTTTGTGTTCAGTAGACATCTGATAGACATCTAAATGCAGACAACTTGGCTAAAACAAGGCTAAACTTGGGCTGTCAGTGAAAATCTAATAGACATCTAAGAATAACCCAAAACTAGACTCATCAAATAGACAGACTTTATATGTGTAGTCATTCATTTCTGTTTATTTGAGGACTAGTCTAGATTTGGCCTATATTAGATGTCTATTAGATTTTCATTGACAGCCCAAATTTAGCCTTGTTTTAGCCTAGCCTAGAAATCTTTTAAAAACAATAAATGCTTGTTGGGATCTTTGAAATCCCACAATTCTATGATTTCCATTCCTGCTAAAAATGTAATGGAAATGCTGCACAGTAATTTTGTGTAAATATTTTTTCTTTGCTCATTTCTAGTAAGAAATTAGTGTTGAAGTGATTAAATATAGATCAATCACAAAAGCTATTTTCTTGTAAATCATTAAATGTTGCATCAGAAATATGTTTGAAAAGCATTTTGTGAGATGCCTTGTGTGCATTTATTTATTCACTGCAGAAAATTACAACTGGAAAACCTTACAAGTTTGCTTTATTCCACCAAAATATTGCTTGCTTGAACTATTCTAAAGTTCAGACATTGATATTGTGTTATCTGAAACTAAATATAAACATGTCTTAAAACATGGCTGTTAGGGCAGGGTGATTAATCAAAAAGTTATCTAAATCAACGCTTAGAACCTATTATCTATCTAATTTTTTTAAGACTATTTTTCCAATTACTTTCCTTACGTGTCAATTAACCCTGCTTTGTTTAAGGCTGTGGCTGATTTCTACTTCTGTTCTCAGGTCATGTAGGACAATTGATACATTCTTTAGCCCTACTTTGCACTACATTGACGATTATTTGAAGCTGCGCCTGAGATGCCTTGAGACTGCACATAATTCATTACATTAAAACTATTATTTACAATAAAATATTTGTTAACAGAAGATGCAAGAAATGCACTGTTTAAGGACAGGATTTGCAAGAGTTAATTTTTATAAGAGTTAGTTTTACGTTTTACAAACTAATTTGGCGAGCAGCATGTGATATGATTGATCGCGGCTGGTCTCTCATCTGTAATCATTAGTAAGTTAAAAGCTCACTATAAATAGCCCGTCTAGCATTACTCCTGTATCTTCATTTTTTGAAGAATCCCCTCTTCCACCCCATTTCTCCCTTTTCCTCCTTTACCAGGGGGAGCTCTCGAGAACTACCTGATTTCGTACCCCCTTACATGCTCATTGCCCAGGCGAGAGACTTTGGCTCAATTATCTCCGAGCTCATGGTTCTCTCCCATGACAGCATGCCAAAAAACTGCTATTATTATGAAGAAATATCTAAGAGTAAACTTTTAAAAGAGATACTGCTTCTTTTCTACTTTTAATATGAAAAACATTTACACTAATTTATTTTATTTCCAAAAGTGCAAGTTATTCATTTTCACTTTTTTAATAAGAAAAAAGTGAACGTTGGTTTTAGGCAATGTGTGTTTTAATTTCAGTTGTTCAATATTTAATCATAGTACATAGTGTGTGTTTCTATAAATTATTTTATAAATCAAGTAATGCAGCCTACATTCATAAATCTGTCACTTGTAATTTGTGAGCATATTTACTGTTGTCAGTGAACTATGAGGACAAAAAAATAAATAAATAAATTCATTAACCATCATTCATTAATCATAATTGAGTTAAAAATCTAATGATCTTAGCATATCAAGAAAGCCCAGTTCAATGCTGAAGCTAGAAAAGTTCTCGGACACCTTTTTAAATTCTCTTTCTGTGGTTTCTTAATCGCTGTTGAGAGGAACTCTGGCTAGAAGCCCGTCAGATGATAAGGAGTTTATTGATTTCTTTTGAAAATAGTTCTGTCAGATGCAAGCAAACAGCATTACTCGCAATGGTGGTGCTGGCTCCTCCAGGCTGCTTGGCCTTTAAATACAGAGCCTCGACTTCCACTGTGACGTTCTGCCAAAGCTTATGATGCTCACCTGCGTCAGCAGGTCAGTCCAACACACTTTGTTATGTGTATTTCTCGGTTTGGGATAGTTTCTGGCAGGGATGGGCTCCCTTTGACCCTGCTGCCCCCAAACACATTAGACCGGAAAAAATCGAATACTTAGAAAAGACCTCACACCAGAAAACCGCTCAATCCAATTGAAAGTCTGGAGCTTGACAGCTTGTCATTACGTTGAATAAAAATGGAGCCTACCTCATACAATCATAACACTTGCTCTGCTTTTTAGCAAAAAAGTAATTGGAAAATGTGAGTGATGCTGGATTTTAGCAGTCTCCGCTGTGAATTCTTTGGGGTTTCCTAATGCAATTTCTTCAACATTTGTTTGGACTAACTGGTTTCTCAGCCCCCCGCCCAGAGGAACGAAATGTTCAAACCCCAAACAATTTCTGTGTTTTTTCCCCTCTATTGTCTGAAAATTTAGTCAGTTGTGTAATTGGTACATGTTAGAAAGAATTTAAAAAAAAAAAAGCTTGGTGATCTTTTCTGTATTTATTTTGCAGTCCAATGTGATCTAAGTGAGTGGAGTCCATGGGGCCCTTGCATGAAGAAGAACAAAACATGTGGCTTTAAAAAGGGTAACCAGACCCGAACCAGGGAGCCCCTTCAGGTTCCAAGTCCTGCCACCTCCACAGGGGCCGCTCCAGCCTCGGGCTGCGTCCCGGAGATCCAGACCCAGAGATGTACCGTGCAGAAAAAGATCCCATGCAAAGGTAAATCAGAGAAAGAACAACAGAAAAAAATGTTGGATAGGAAATACTTGCGCCATGAGGAATGCGTGAAATCTGTTATCTGACTTCAAATTGCAGATTTGTTGATATATCGATCATTTATCTTTTTTGGCCACTTAGGGAAAACATGCACGCTAATTTGATTTAGTTTATTTACGGCTTTTGACATAATGCGCTGTAAATAAATCCTCGAGTGTTCCCAGTAAATAAACAGAAGCCCAGCTGGTTTGTAATCTTTTCGTCGCTGGCCGCGGATCTGAGGGCGGCCTTTTGTTTGTTGCTTTAACTTACTGGAAAGTGAGGTTAATATGCTGCTCTGACTCTCCAGCGGGAACAGAACATAAGTGGACCTGTACTGGACCTGTTGGCTGTTAAACATTTTGTAAAAACAAAAGCCTGAATGTGTTGTTTCTCCCTATATGGTTACACTTGGCTGTCTCATTTTAAATGGAGATGTTTGCATGGATGGAAAAGGTTGTTTAGAGTACGAGTCTACAAAATTCAGCCATTAACAGATCATTGCCTTTTGTTTCAGCAGTCAAACTACCATTTGAAAGTTTGGGATTACTTTTGGATTTAGACATAAAAATAAGTAAGACAAATAATTTTTATGCTATAATTCCTTAAATCAGATTGCTATTTTTGGGTGAAGTTTCTATTTACTTAAAATCTTGAAATGAAGTAACAGTAAAGCTAATTGGATTTTTAATTTTTTGCAGCCTGATTTATTTAATTATCTTTAAGTGACAAGATTTGAGAAGTATAGAAATTTGCATTGAAGAACAGAATACAAGTCTTGATATATATATATATATATATATATATATATATATATATATATATATATATATATATCAAGACTTGCATTCTGTTCTTCATATATATATATATATAATTTTTGGCCTTTTGCCTTTATTAAGTGGATTGGACAGTATTATAGACAGGAAGTGAAGAGAGAGAGAGACAGGGGGTAGCAACGGGAAATGTCTTCGTGCCGGGATTTGATCTTGGGACGCCCTGAAGTGCTGCTGCACCATATGTCAGCACGCTAACCACTAGCTGAAAAAGTCTTTAAAATTTAAAAAAAAAATAATTTTAGGCCTTAAAAATTATTAAATTCACTGATATATTGTGTTGTAGGTCTTAAATCATTTAAAAAAGGTCTTAGTTTTCCTATGTCCAAGTAAAGCTACCCAATCTTTCATCGTTATTTAGGCCCAGACAGAATCTGCAGACATTTTTTGCTATTTCTTAGCAGAATTTTGTTTAAAAAAAACAGCGGATTTATGCAGAATGATTTTGGGAGTATCACTGTTAAAAACTTAATATATGAAATAAAAATAATACCTTTTTAACTTGTATTTAATGGTTACAATGCAAATCCAAATAGATCCTCTTAACTGATAAACAAGTCTATCATATAATATATCCCAAAAGACAAAAAATATTACTTTACAAACTGTATTGTAAATAAATCATATAAACATTTCATATTGTTATTTTATTAAAATGACTAAACACAGAAGAGTTCTGAGTATATCTAACTTGAATGGCTAGAACAGTCAAATTTACAGCATGTATTTTAGTGTTTGCTACTTAATCCCATGGCTTTAAATATGCATGCCTTTCCAAACCTTCTGATTGGAAAAAAAAAACATTACTTGCCTTTCAAAGCAACATTTTTACTGTGCCATTGGTTTATAACTTGTCTTTAATTGATTACAAAAAGAGATTGTATTTAAAGGATAATGACCTCTTAAAATATGACAACAGAAATTCTAAGCTTAATTCACCCGCAGCTATCTCTCTGCAACTCTCACATGCTCGCCCACTGAAGCTGGGCTGTGCTGTCCCCAGTGTGTACGTGGATAAGATACCACATAGGCAAGCTAGGTTGCTGCCAGAAGTGGTGTTAGTGAGACCAGCAGGCAGTGCTCAACCAGCAATCTGTGTTGGTCCTAATGCCCCAGTATATTGAAAGCGCTATATAAATTTAAGGAATTATTATTAATAATTCAAAAATCTTAATAGCTTTTGACTTAAACGTATTTATGAATGTAATTTCTTATATGAATGGTCAGAATGATCGCTATGGCCATTCTAGTAGTTATAGAATTTTACCTGGAAACAACGTTGTCTTTTAAACATTCATCACATAAAAAAAATAAACGCTTTTAAAGAACTGTTCAAAAAACATAAATGGATCATTATAGTTCCCCTGTGGGAACCTTGATTTTTAAGAGTGTGTGGAAGTCTACCATACTTTGAAAAATAAAATGGCTCAATTGGCTCATCAAATTGTTTGTAAATGCAGAAATTTACAAGAGACTATGGCTTACATCAGACCTTACACCATAAACATACCTGCCAACACTGCCATTTTCCTGGGAGTCACCTGTATTTCAGACCCATCTCCCGCCATCCTCCCATTTTGTTATTTCTCCTGGAAAACGCCTGTAATTTCACCCCCAATTTCACCCATGTAATTTTATGGATCGTGTCGCATTGCATTTTTTTTTTTTCATATGACTTTTCAAAATTAAGGATTTACCAAATTTATCTCTGAGCACACCAAAAATAAAAAATTATGATTTATTAGCCACAAATTTGAAGTTTGTCAAAACAAGGAAAATATGGCTGCATACATGCGCTTTTTAATTTAACAAAACTTTTTTCTTAAAAAAAAAAAAAAAGAACTATTGTCATGTATCTAAAATATGCACAGTTATCTGTCCTGGCTAAAGATCTCAGATCACCCGTAACTACACATAAATAGGAAGTTAATCTCATATTAAAGCAATGTTATTGTAAAAATATATATATATATATAATTATACCATAGTAACAAAAATAAGTGTAAAAAACAAAAAAAAAAGGAGATAAAAAAACATATGGTGTGTGATGATAAAAAGGTGATCACGTGCAAACGGTTAATGTTAGGCCTGCTTATAATCTGTTCAAGTATAATTTACGAAAGCAGTGCTTAATAATTAATGAGACCACTGCTGCTTACAAAAGCAAAGTTAAAAAAAATTAAATCGGTAGCTCTAGATTATCTTATTGTCCAGTCAAAGAGAACCAATTGCATCAGTTGTGTTTCCTCTAGGCACTCTTGCTTTCTTTTGTTCCTACGAACAGTTATGGTCAGCCCTGCTGCTTCTCGATTCTAAGATCACATTTGCACGAATATTAGGCCATCTTTATTGTCGAACCCTGCTTTTAAGAAAACTACAATTTAAAAATTATTTCCAACCAGCCAAACTGGCTAGCGGGAGTGACTGTCTAACCTGCCACAACTGAAATCTACCCGCATCTGGCAGGTTGGCAGGTGTTAATGTCAAGCCCTGAACACCACAGTGCAGTTACTAACCCGGTTCTCAACTGTGTTACTCAGACAAACATACACTGTCACCCCAACTCCCCCTGCCTGGTCTCCCGGAATTTCAGAGACAAATGTTGCCAGGTATGACCATACGCCATATTCAAGCAATTCCTGTCAGTTTTCGGAAACCACTTGACTCATGACTCAGCCTACATGCTAAGCTAATCGTTACGTCACCCGTTGAGTGCTTCCTAAAATAAACACCAGAAAATACTTTCTAGAGCTCTTAGTTTTCTTAACACTATTGAGAAATTGTGTTTTCCTGGAAATGACGTCTTATTCTGTGCAAACAGCCTCACCAGATCAAGAGCTTTCGGGAGATGCGGACTCCATGCTTTGCTGGACTAGGTGTGACAGCGTCATTTGAGAAATGAGAGGGAAATTTACTCTGCATGTCGCTAGTATTGTGGAAAGAATTTCCACCCAGGGTCCATAAGAATAATTAACAGTGAAATATTATAAACTGCCCCATAAAAGTGCTATATTGCCTGTCAAATTTCTAAACTTAGAGAGTCCACTTGTCAGAAAAGCTTTCGAAGTTAGCGAGAGCTATGCTGAAACAGCAAGCCTGGACGCATATAAAGTCATTTGTTTGTAGTTCAATTTCTAAATATGACACTTGCTCTAACTACATTATGATAGAATCAGTTAGGAAAGGGTTTTGGAGTCAAAACATGCATTCAATGTAACAGCAATGCAGCATTCCTCACTTTTCAAGATGAAAAGAATTAATGCAACTCAGGTGTCAAAAAATGCATAGGTTATGGGTTGCGTGACCTGAATGCCCTTGTTTTTTTCTCAGTGTACCTCGTGCTAAATTAGCAAGACTGTGAATACATCTGCGGGAATTGGCTGACAAGGCTGCTGTAAAAATCACAGGGGGCAGTGCTTGTATAACACCGGTGATTTACTGGTCTGCAGATCTCACGCTTTGTGTTGATTTTGCCAAGCTCCCCCCGTTTCTCTTCCCTTTTCTGTAGCTTAATAAATGTCTTTGCACGAAAACCGAATATTCTAAACGCGTGATTGCCTTTGTCAGGCGATGGTGTTTAGGTTGGATTGAGCAGTGCTGTAATTATTGCTGTCATAAATGAATGGATCCTCCCCAAGCACTCTTACCGCTTTATCAAAGCTAACAAGTCTCCTCCATGTAGATCCAAAGTTTAAGGCTCCATTTCCTTCCGTGTTTTTCATTTCTTTTCAGTTTCAAAATCATGATTAACTGACACTTGAGTTGAGGCGTTTTGTGAACTCAAGGTTTTGAATTCCTCACACAAACAAGACTGCTCTTCTCAGAGCAATCAAAACAAAACTATTGAATTTAAAGTGATGTAATGTTTTCATGCATTGCAAAAAAACATTAAACTCTGGCCCTCTAATCCGATTGAATGAGCACTGTTTGAATAACTCTGCTGTCAATGATTTGACAATGAACACACAATGGCTAAAGTTGGTCCAATTTTTGAGTCCATCTCTTAATCCTGTTTCTTACACATATAGAGATCTTGTATTCAGCAAGCCATTCATGCAGGCAGGCAACAAATGTTAATAGCATATTTATATCAGTCAGCACTGTGTCTCTCCTCCGTATGCTTAGTGC